GCCAACTGAGGTGTGAGAGTAACATGAGAGCATGAACAGTTTTGTTCGAACTCATTTATCTCACATTCAGATTCATGCTCTTGGAATTATATGATGTGCTAATGGACACAAGGAATCCGTGATGAAAATCTTTATTTGTGTCGAAATTTGTTTTTTGCTGTTAACAGAGTAAGCATTACAAAGCACATGAAAGTATTCGAGGAAATATTTTCGGTTGTGTTTATCGAAAATGGATTTTCATTAGAGGTGAATTGTTGCTGCTTTCGACGGCATTTAGTTGTTGATGCTGCGGTCTGGGCAAGGACAGTACTGAGCATCCGATCCAGTACGGCCATCCATACCAGGTGCTCCTGGCATACCGTTGAGAGCGGCTGGTCCTGGTCTGCCATCGGGTCCTGCTCCGCCTGATGGTCCTTGGTTTCCGGCTGCACCGGGTTTGCCTGCTGGGCCTGGAGCTCCGGGTTGACCAGCTGCTCCGTTAGGTCCTTTAGGTCCGGGTACTCCAACTTTTGTGAGGGTGTTCTGGCCGGGTGGTCCGACTGGTCCAGCTCTTCCTGCTGCTCCTGAAATTCCATTGTTTTGAACGGATCACTGATAAGAAATGAAAAAAAAGAACGACATTGAAGGAGAGGTTTCATGGCGGAGATCATATTGATTACTCAATTGCATCGAGTGAAGTATGCTTTTGCCATGAACTTATCCAATATTATTCAGTAATTACCATCAAAGCTCATCTTAGCAGTTAGTCAGATCCGCAACAAAAATTTTCATGAGTGCTATAAATCCTATTGTATATGCTGATGATTTAGAAATTAATGTTAGAAACATGTTGGCTGTCCTAATGAAGATTATTCTTTCAATGAATGGCAGTTTACCTGGTGCTCCAGCATCTCCAGCTGGTCCGGTTGGGCCGGATGGTCCTTTTTTGCCGTCAGCTCCTGGAGCTCCGTTGAATCCGGCTGGTCCGGCTGGTCCTGCTGGTCCTGCTGGTCCGATTGGTCCGGCTGGTCCAGCTGGGCACAAGATGCAGTTTCCTGCGCTTCCTGGGTATCCTGGTGCGAAGCTTCCTGGTTTGCCTGGCATGCCTGGCAGACCGGTGGCTCCTGGAGAGCCTGGCATTCCTGGGAATCCTTTTGGACCTTGTGGTCCGGCTGGGCAGTTTCCGGCACGAGTGGCGCAGTTGCAGGTGTCACTGGCCTGACGCTTGTGGCGTCCGAAGATCGACTCGACGTTCATGCCCTCTTGTGGGCGGTGGTTGACGAACACGATCTCTTTCCAGGCATCATTCGAGATGATCTTGAACTCAGCCATATCGGCCATAACGTCATCGTAAAGTGAGTTGATGTCTTGGAAGAGAACACCAACCACAAGCAGTGATGCGATTATGGCAACACCGCTGGTCACGGTCGCTACACCAACCAAATAGGAAGTACTCATCTCTTGAGATTAACGGATCACTACTGAAACTGATACTGAAACCAATGTGGTGCCTTTTATAGGCTTTTGAGAACGCTGTAAACCACGCCTAATCTCTGTGCTGTTAATCGAGTGTTCCGTTCAGCAACGCTTAAATGACCTTGGCATGAACACTTTCTTAAACAATGGACATCTCATTAACTGGTTCATGTGAAATGGTCAATGTTCATACCAGTCGGAATTTGCAAAGCGATTGCGTTCTTTCTGTGAAACGCATGAGCTTGGTTGACCTCGAATGTCAGTTTGCAGTTTTTCGAATGTAATTCAAATTCGCATTATTATTCGGATGAATTCACGCAACAAGAAATTGAGTAGATTGTTCCAGTTAGTTGAGATGTTGAGCGATATGAAGTGTTTTGACTGTTAAGTGAAATGAACAGAATTCTGATGAGTGATGTTTTTTGGATGGTTGGCATAAGACGCCATTGAGTTCGGCGTTTATTTGCAATAACACTGGATAGTATTATCCAAGCATAAAGGTTTAATATTATCGAATCTATGATTCAAAATTGGTCTCTGTTCGGTGAATCAATCAAAATTTCATACTTTTGAATTGCGATAGCTGCATTTTATGTGAAATAACTGCCATCAAATGATATTTACCAACAACACATTCATCACATAATTCTTTCAATTGGCTCTTCATTACGTGAGCAGTAGTTTCCTAATAAGAATAATGAGCCATTCATAGTTCGTGATCTTGTTAGTTTTCAGCTCTGCTAATTAACACAATGATGTCTCGTCCGCCTTTTTGTGTCAAATGATCCGAGAATAAAATTTGATCG